GTGAGTTCCGGGCATTTGTTGTTTTTTCTTATGATGGTTCTACAGCCTCAGCCGAGGTGGTGCCTGTGCAGGGGCAAGGCTTGGCTTCTTTCGGATGGTGGAGGCAGTCCAACCTCCATGTGGCATGGTTGATTCTTTGCATGGTTGGCTGCTACATGATAGGAGCCTTCTCAAGCGTGTGAAGGTTGCATTGAGCAGGCACTTTATTGTGCGGCTTGTCTGAGATCGATGTTGACTTCATGGATGACGGGGATGCAGAGTTCTATGGTTGTTTCTCCCCTCATGGTACGACCTCTTCGTTGGCGTTTGTCTACCTTTACCTCTGTGGACTAGGCCTTTGTCATTACTCTAGCACTGGTGTTATCATGCATGTTTTAGGGAACTAATTTCGCCTCTATATCCCTAGCCAGGCGTTTCCAGATGGGAATCATTTGTGTTCGGCGCCGGCCAAACTTTCGGTCGGCTTGCACGCCACACTTGCTTAAAAGTGCCACAAAACAAACCACACGCGAGACGGGTGTTCACACTAGGCCCACGCATTCTATTGGTCCCATGCGCCGTCCTTATCTCCTTCCTCTTCCCAACTCTTCTCGACCATTCGTTCGCCCCCATCCTGACAAATTCTTGTAGCTCTTCCATTATCTTCCCCTCCGATCCTCATTTCCCTTCACCACAAACGCATGCACGCTGCTGTTGGTGCCCGCCGCAACCACACACGCGTGCGCCCAGATGCTATTGCATTTGCAACGGGGGCGGCCACCATGTGCTCCATGCGGCTCCCGCACTTGCAGGGACTGCAAGGACCACAAGCTGCAACGCGGCCGGCCATGCTGTGAGCTCGCACGTGAAGCTGCGGCCATGGGGCGGGCGGCTAAATGCATCCACGGGGTTTTTTTTTCCTACCAAGGATGCGATGCCGAAGTTTGCTACAACCAGCGGCGGCACGCTTGCAAAGCTGCATCCACGGGGCGAAGATGCTACGACCGGCGCGCCAAAATGCTTCAACCACCATTTCTTTGTTGGAGCCAGTCAAGCGTCGACTGCAAGAGTCGACGCGGCGGAGCTGAAACCACGGCAAAAATGTTACAATCGGCGTACAAAAATGCAACGTTTGACATATCGTTTACTGGAACCAGGCGAGCGTCAGCGACGACAGCAAGGCGGAGGTGCATCGACAACAGAAATTTCTACGACCATCTTGTGCTTTTGCTGGAACCAGTCGAGCGCCCGCGACGACGGCGAGGCGGAGCTGCATCCACAACAAAAATTGCTACCAGTGGCATCTATTTTTGCTGGAACCAGTCGGGCGTCAGCGACGACGACGAGGTGGAGCTGCATCCACGGCGAAAATTGCTACGACCAGTGTCTATTTTTGCTGGAACCAGCCGAGCTACGAAGAGGCGGAGCTACGTCCACAATAAATTTTGCTACGACGGGCGTATGATTTTACTGGAACCAGCATGAGTGTCGGGCGGCCATAGAGCGCCACCCAGAGTTGCTACCACGGGCAGCTCAAGATGCTGCAACCAGCCACCGAGGTTGACATGACCATGCCCGGCGACACTACAATGGCCACATGATGTTGGGGACGGCGACGACTCTTTGGTCCGTGTTGCATCGAACAAAGCCAGGGCTGGTGGCGACGGCGGCACTCTTCTTGGACGAGCGCGAATGGCCGGGGAGCGCGTGCGGTCGGGGGAGACAAGCGCAGGGGCCACAGGTGTCACCGATGGCTGGCAAGTGCCGGCGACAGTGTGCGCAGTCTCTTGACATGACCGCGAGCTATTGGTCAACAGGACGCGAGACGTGGGTGGAGACATGATGATGAAGCGGGTTTTTTTTTTTGCACAGATGATGACGTGGGGGACATAGATAACGGGTATTATTGGACGAATCCAACGAATGCGCAGTTTCGGCCGGTCCACCGGCGCCTATCGTTCACGTTTCCAGATGTGGCGAGTGCTGCGCATTATGTTGCTGCCACGCGTCAGAATTCAGCATGTGGTTCTTGTAAGCGTCGAGGTTGTTGTGGCCAGAGCATCGGTGTCAGACCTCGGGGTCATATTTGCCATCAAGCTTA